GTTTGGTGCGTAAGAACGGGGTGATTTGCCTACCAGAATATCTCGTTTGGAATATGAGGAAATGAACTGCGTCTGGCCTCTCCCAGACTTGCACGCGTTTCGATGGCTGCACTTGCATGGCGGGATTGGTGCATAAGACGGGATTTGATTGGGCTGCGATTGCCAAGCACGAGCCTCAAAAGTTGAACATGCTTCAAACTTTTTGATGCCGAATAGCATCCTGTGTGATGCTTGCAAGACTCCGCGCATTCCCATGCCCCCACAATGGCAGTTCGGCGAAGATTAAAAATCTTCTACGTCACGCGGGCCTATCAACGTGAATGGGGCGAAGCAGTTGATAGCATTTTCGATGCCCTGTTAGGTGGAGTGTAGACGGCGGCCGTAAGAGCTCACTCAGTGAAAGCACTGCTGCTGACCAATCAGAGCTCAGTGTGAGTTAAAGCGATCAAGTCATATCACAGAGGAAAGGAAATACAGAAAAGCTGCGTTGGAGGAAAGCACGGCCGGCAAATTCACCGACTGTGTGAACGTAGAACACTTTAATGAATATCACCTCCCATCTTTCAGAGCAATCTGACTATTATAACATTAGCGTTTAGAAAGCTTACTTAAATATGCTGCCCACAACATAAGTAACCGGAATCAGAGTAACACTTACATTTAACAGTCCGCGGCAGTAGTCACATCATAATGTATCAGTATATTCTGCCTATCTGAGTCAGCTGAGCCGTATCTGGCCGTGCATCACAGTGTCCACATTCACTGGTATGAGAAGTATTATTTTAAGGCAACCACACTTAACGTTGACGAAACACTCGGAGGACAAATGTAAGTTAAAGTCAGATCCACTCTGGTCTTGAATATTAGACGGGGCAGTTGATATTCATAAACCTGTTAATGTACGCATTCAAACACTTTTCTTGGTTACCAGCTGCTATTCACTTGCGGTGCAGCTATGTTTGCTTCTGATCCTGGATCAAGTGTTTAAGTCATGGATGTTTAAAGTTTAACGTCTTCATATGTGTCTAATTATATAGTTGACTTTTCATTCAGGAAGTATGATGCTGCGCTGTCAGTACGCTTTTCCATGTTTGTGATTGGTCGAATGCTCCAAATACCACCCCTTTCATGTGAACGCGCACCTAACTAGATAGGACACGGCTGGCTTGAGCGATCCACTTGATAACCCGCGTCGTAGTACCGTTTAACGAGAGCGCGTATGTTTTGGATTAGGCCAACCGGCTAACTCAAACATATCCAGGTTAGGTTGAACCAGCTTCGTAGTACACCCCCCAGGATACACGTCGAAGAGTGGATCTGTGTGCAGAGATTTCTAAGTTTGTCATCATCAGAGCCTCAAGTCTCCTGGATGGAAAGGTTCCAGAAGGAGAAAATAAAGATTGGCCTGAAGCAGGTTCTCTCTTTAACTCAAGCACCTACACTTCTTCTTCGAAAAGCAACTCCAAGCAATCGAACCAGTCTTCTGTGAAACGACAAGAAGCTGCTGCTGAGGCTGCTGCAAGCCAAGCTATTCTGAAAGTGTTACAAGAACAAGAAACAGAACATTTGGAGATTCAGCGCCTGGAGGCAGAAGCTAAAAGAAAGATAGCTGATCAAGAGACTGCAGCCATGAGGCATTGTTTAGAAAGAGAAGCGGAAGAGTTAAGACGTCGTTCAGAAAGAGAAGCAGAAGAGTTAAGACATCGTTCAGAAAGAGAGGAAGAGGAAGCTAAAATTAAAGCTTGTCTAGAAGAAGAGCATGTAGCTCTACAACAGACTCTGGATGACAAACGGAGAAAAATACAGCATTTGGAAGCAGTAAAAGGTTTCAATGCAGCACGAGCAAGAATGCAAGTGTATGACCAAGAAGAGTCCATTAAAGAAGAATGGAAAGACGTGCTAGAGAGGGATTTGGTAAGTAACCCAGTGCCTGCTCCCACAAGTTCTCAACGACAGGTTGTCACTACTTCCTCAAGTGAAAGTACAGCAGAGCTTGTTAAGGTGCTAGCTGGTGCCTTAATTGCCAACATAATTCCAGTTCCTGAACCTTCAGTATTCAGTGGGGATGCATTGAAATACAATGACTGGAAACTTTCGTTTGAAATACTGATTGACCAGAAAAACATCCAAGACAAAGAAAATATATACTATTTAAGGAGATATGTTAGTGGACAAGCTAAGAAAGCACTTGATGGTTATTTCCTGCTCGGAACCAAATCTGCCTATGTTGCAGCATGGGAGATTTTGGAGGAGAGATATGGGAATCCATTTACAATTTCAAAAGCCTATAGAGACAAGCTTCAATCATGGCCCAAGATAGGAGCTAAGGACAGCTTTGAGCTCAGAGATTTTGCAGACTTTCTCCGTAGTTGCGAGGCTGCCATGGTCCACATCAAGGCATTAGAAATCTTGAATGACTAATGAAAACAGGCAAATACTTTCAAAGTTACCAGATTGGCTAACTGCAAGCTGGAATCGGAAGGTTACTGAAGTCCAAGAAGACAGTAAACAATTTCCCTCCTTCAGCCAATTTGTACAGTTTTTGACAAGAGAAGCAAAGATTGCCTGTAACCCTGTCACATCATTGCAATCACTGAAGCAAGGTGAAGCTGAAAACACCAAATCTCAAAGACAACAAAGCTTTGCAGCAAAGACACTGACCACAAGTTCAGACGAAAACACCGTCTTAACATGTATTCTCTGTAAGAAGAATTGGCATTCCTTGCACAATTGCAGGAAGTTCATGGAGCAAGCTGTTCCAGACAGAATCAAGTATTCAAGCTCAGAAGCTATGCTTTGGATGTCCCCAGACTGGCCATCAGTCAAGGAGCTGCCACAGTAGGAGTGTATGTGATGTGTGCAAGACGCAACATCCTACCTATCTGCATGAAGAGCGTACAAATCAAGAAAGATACAAAGAAAGACTTCAACCAACACAACAAGAAGAAAGAACCACAGCGGCTACTTCCAACAGAGTATACTTGGTGAAGGTAACACGCAAACGGCTGCTATAATTCCAGTCTGGCTTTCATCCACATGTCAACCAGCAGAAGAAAACCTTGTATACGCTCTGTTGGATTCTCAAAGTGACACAACATTTGTGCTAAGTGAAGTAGCTGAGGCTTTGGAAGCAAGTAAACAACAAGTCAAGCTCAAGCTATCTACTATGACCTCAAGAACCACAGTTGTAAGCGCTCACTATTGGAGTGCTGGAGTAATTGTTTCGCCGCATATGAATGAACAGTGGGACAAGTTTAAAGAATAGTCGGACCGTGGGAACAGATCCACACAGTGATTACGCACTCTGATGCGCAGGCATGCGCATGCATCAGCGTTTCCTCCTGTGGATTAAAATAATTTATTTGGATATTTAAATAACGTCAATCAAAGAAAAATTATGCAAGACGATACATCACAGGACAGAAGTGGATCTTCTGACGAGGTAAATCCTAAGGACATTGCACCACACATGTTATGTTTAAAGGACAATAATTCCAGACCACAGAAAGTATTCAGATTATCATACAGATCATCTGCAATAATCAAAGCTGAAGCTGATTTAGCAGTCCTTAAAGAACGCATGGCTGCATTGAAGAGGAAGCATGCATTGGAAGCCCAAGAGGAGGAGCTTAGAAAAGAAAAGACAAAACTTGTCTGCACTCAATGCCAAAATTGACATACTGAAAATCCACTTGAGGCGTGGATCGGAAGGATCTGTGGAAAATGGTAACAAAAAGAAATCTGAAAAGATAAAGTTTCCTTCTGCCCCAAACTACAACTGTTTTTCTCTCCAACACAACCATCACTCACAGGATACATGTGCAAGCTTCAATATGAAATAGAAAATGAGGAAACAAATTTCATAAAGGTGGATGGATGTAGTTTTGTTTGCCCTGCTGGTCACATAATCAAAGACTATTGGAGATATTTGAAGTGCGGTGTGTGTCACCAGAAGCAACTGTCAGCCCTTCACATTGAAGATGAGGATACAGGCACATCCTTCAACAAAGCACATGTTTCACCTGGACAGTCAGAGACAAGTGTTCATACTGGGGCCGGTGGACAGGGCAATGGATTCAGCTCTGGCTGGCCTGTTGTAGTAACCTCCCACCTTGCAGTGGAACAAAAAGAGAAGATGCTCATCAAACTTCACATTCATCATGATTAAAAAAAAAAAACATCAACAGTGCAATGGGAAAAGCACACAGAGAGTGAGGAGCAGGGAAGAAACAACAGAGGAGACCAGCTCCAAGACATCAGAGTCAACAAAGTCATAAACATCAGACCGAAACACAGGTTGAAGAAATGCTTTCCAACCTCAAGATAGATAGTGTGAACAGTGATGGAGACACGGAGGAGCCTCCTTATGAAGAGGATTTGAATGATGGAGCGAGTGAAAAAAGCTCAGAAAATAATTTCCAACAGGTGATATGTTCTTCATTGCAAATAAAAGTGGACCCTGGATGAAGGGAAGGACGGAAAAGGCCCATGGTGGTGGTGGGGTTATGTTATGGACGACAAACACAGGCCACTCGATTCACAACATTACCCTAACCCTAACCCTAACCCTAACTGACTGGTTTTCGGACCCCCCAGACCCCCCCAATAAAGCAAAAATCCACGTTTCAGAGTGGCCTTTTATTGTGGCCAGCCTANTGCCGCCAAATCCAAATGGTCACCAGACGTCGTTTGTGCCTCTTGGGATCGGTTACTCCATATGCATCGCCTGCAGAGGTGGTTTGCCGGCCTTCGTTTAGATCCCAAGAGGCACAAACGACGTCTGGTGACCATTTGGATTTGGCGGCAGGTCAGCCTTTAGTCAACCGCTTACGGCGCATTTTTGCAGGGGGTCAGGAGACAGCGCCCAGTGGTGCATGTCTCCACCCCACAATGGGATCTGCCGTTGGTGCTCGAGGCTCTGGTCACAGAACCATTTGAGCCTCTGGAGCTCTCCTCCCTGAAGGCACTATCATTGAAAACAGCTTTGCTGCCTGCCTTAATTCGGCCAAGAGAGTGTGCGAGCTGACCGCTCTGTCGGCGCACCCGGGTTGCCTTTTGATTCGGGGTGACCGTAGCGGGGCGACACTCAGACCGAACCCCTCCTTTGTTCCCAATAACCTAAGGAGTTCGTTCAGGTCAAGGGCTTTACAGTTACGGCTCCTACACACGGCGGCGTGCGTTGTCGCTTGCCGGCTGAAACTCGACCAACAACCAATCACATGAATCTCCCGCCCCAGACACACAAACACGCGGTTTGATTGGCTAGAGCTTGTACTGGCATATGATTCGATTGGCTGACGCCTCCGTCGAGGCGGCAAAAGTAGAACATTGCTCTACTTTTGCAGCGAGCACCACGAGAGAAGCTACGCTTTTGTGTGAGATATAACGGGGAGTTATGTATCGTAACCCTAGTTATATAAGCACAGGCGGAGCCCTCTACCTAGGGGCCCTGTCTTTCCCATGCCGCTCGCTGAAGAGGGTGTAGGATGACAGTCAGGAGACGTAGCCGCCTTATATACTGTGGGCCTGTGCGCGCATTCAGGTAGGCTCGGCCCGATTGGCTGGCTACGTTTATGCAACTCAATAGGTGAATGCTCGCATAGCATGGTTGAGAGTAGTACCCATAGAGTCCAGTAGAGGGCGGAGCCTGTGCTTATATAACTAGGGTTACAATACGTAACCCCCCGTTGTATCTCCTTGTATCTTCTTTATATATATCATATTCATATGCTGCATGCTTGAGATTTTGAGAATTTAAGCTGAATTGATTTATTTTTATTTTTAAACTTGAGGTTGTGTGCCATATTGTTAAAGAACTTTGAGCTGCATCCTATGTATGAAAAGTGCTCAACATAATAATTATTTCAAGGTCTGAGACATGCCGACTGCAATACATGATGTAGTCTAAGAGATGAAGAATTAGACTAAGAGATAGAGTGATCAGACACAGAGAAATCTATTTAAAAACATTATGCAGCCTTTGTTATTGGCCGAATCATAACTAAAGGACAGCAAGTTAGAAAATGAAACACACCTGAGCTACACATGACTTTTTGAACCGCTTGACGTTGCCTAGGAGAAGCTTATCTATTGTCACGCCGATGAGCGGCAGGAATGTAATTCGACATTACATGAGGTCGGACACTGGCGGCTTACTGCTGTGACACATCCGTGACATGCTCCGAATTAACATGCAATGGTGTCAATTAAAAGCATGAAACACACTTAGGGGAATGTTTTCCCCCGTAGCCGAAAACAGCCTGAGACAAAGTGACTGGGGACGACGTGCAACGTGTTTCTATCACACTGTTTACATGAAGTGTCTGCAGAAGTGACAATTGGCACCAAGCACAAATTCTTCATGGGTGATTATCGAGTTGGACGGAGTTTCACATGTCGTACGATCTGCATACGGAGGTAAAAAATACTTTTCAACCTATTGTCTCGAACACAGAACGAGTTACACCCCCGGTTTGATTACTACTAGTGTCCCTGCCAAGAGTACTTTGAAGTCGAGAGCATGCACATTTGCTCAGCCCTGTCACCAATATTTCACCGGCAACGTTTGAGTGAGGATTTGCTCTTTCATCACACTAAACAGCGGTGGTGTTTGTTCAGCGGCATTCTATTTTTTTCCACGTCCCATTGTTGTCCTCTCGCCGCGTATCAGCTCGCAACTGGGACTCACACGAGTGTGGGATTGTGTCTCGGCTTGACGTACTGAAAAAAAACAATGGAGGTACTTCAAGGGATAGATAATGATGGACGGACAAGGGTACTGTGTGTGTGTGTGTGTGTGTGTGTGTGTGTGTGTGTGTGTGTGTGTGTGTGTGTGTGTGTGTGTGTGTGTGTGTGTGTGTGTGTGTGTGTGTTTTCACCCCCTACGCTGCAGTCTCACAGTGTCTCAACTTCTGCTGCTCATCGTCGGTGGTGTAATAACAATATCACTCATCTCATATCCTCAGCTTACTTTGCTTCCCCTGCTGCCGCCCCCTCGCTCCACATTTATCATATTCATTTGATATTCAGAAATAAATGTAGCAGAAAGAGAATAATGCACCTCCTGTACGCAGCCTTCATTACAGATACATTTACATGGGGGGGTTTGCCTTCGTGGACTCGAACGGAGCACTGGTGTTCCTCACATTTGTCGAGAAGTAAGAAGGAGGGGGGAGTTTTCTCCACATTAGCACTATCAGTGAGCGATGATAAATGGGTCAATCTATCCATCTCCGCTGTCACATTCATAAAATAAATTTGGCCTTCGTCAAGGGAATCAAGCACAGCGCTGTAATATCCGCAACACGTATCCATCAAGTCTAACTTGAGACGTATCCAAGCGCTATGGCGAATATACCTCAGTGAATAATATTTCATCCATGATAATGCAGCAAATACTCGCTGAAAAAAAGAAGAAAATCTGCATTTTTTTTCGTCTCAGTTGCAGGAGGACGGCGGAGGAGGTGGGCCACTGATCATATTCAATCTGGAGGCGATCATGTAAATAGCCCTCCATCTTGGGAAGGCGATATGCAAAGCAGCCCGTCTCCCCTGTGTCAGGATCAGATTAATGGAAACCTAAAAGTGGGAATTACGGCCCTTATCCGCCGCGGCGTTCCAGGGAGGGGCCTGGATACAGACCCTGGGGGAATCTGCCTGGTTCAAAGCCCATTCCTCTGGTTAAGGAACTCGCTAAGATCCATGCACCAAGGTGAAGGGTAATTTCCTTTGATATTCAGCAATGTATTACTGTATGTGGTGTGGAAGTGGAATGCCCCACTGGCTCTGAGTGAATTTGCGAATGCATGGATGTAACATGCAAATGTATGCACACACAAAGAATGGCAAAAAATGACGTTATGAAGTGGACATGGCAGTGAATGAACCTAATTTGAACTAAAAGCTCAAAACAAGCATATCTGTGCCAAGACTGTTTGCCTCGCCGGCCAAAAAATAATCAACCTTTAATATATGATTGTAGCACAGAGGACAGAACGCTTACATCCAAATCAGCTGGGATTCAATGCTAGTTAGCCTGTTAGCCTTGGCCCACTTAAAAGTGCAACAAAAACAGTACCAGAGAAAGTATTAATTAGCCCCATGCAAAAAACAAACCGAACATGAAGCCATGCATTGCCTTACACAAGTTCCAACTGAGCAGAGAAAACTAAATAAATATACAGCATGTCATTCGGAATCCAACAAAATAACATAGTAGTGGTTTTGGCATAACCAATATCAAAGGCCAGCTTTTCGTCTGGCTTGATCCTCGGGGTTGGAGGCTTTGTGTTGATATGACAACAAGCCCCCAAATCTATTACCTGGAGCTCGCCGTGTTCGTCTTATCGAGGCCGGTCAGTGTGAGCCTCCGCAATATGCGCCGCCACCTGACTCCAAAGGGAGGATTGGTAATATGGAATCAAAAGTGCCCGCGCATGCACGTGTCGCGCGGACATATGCACTAACAAAGCTCACTTTATACCCGGGTAAACTCCGGCGGCTTATGTAGAATAACAGGAGAAAAAAAGGCGGCAGTTGTTTTTTATTAGAATGTCGGTGAAGTATTACAAGAGGCTATCCAAATAAGTCCTTCTACTGCCATATATGTCTTTTTTTCTCCTTTCTTCCCCCCACCTCCTTCCCCTTCATCTGCCTCTTTACTATTCATTGAGATCCAATCGAGTGTTTGGCACTCTTCCAGCCCCCCCTGCTCCTCTCTTCCCTTCTTGCTTAAATTTGAATAATACATGACCTGGCCTAGCAGTGACATCACCAGCACACACACATACATATACTGTACATAGACGTAAACAATATGAAACTGGAGGATGAATCTTCTTCTATATACACTCTGGAAGCACAGCTGCTCACAATCCATACTGTCAACAATTTATCAAGAAGGAGCCACCAAGCGCTGCGTGTGCGTGTGCGTGTGTGCGTGTGTGTGTGTGTGTGTGTGTGTGTGTGTGTGTGTGTGTGTGTGTGTGTGTGTGTGTGTGTGTGTGTGTGTGTGTGTGTGTGTGTGTGTGTGTGTGTGTGTGTGTGTGTGTGTGTGTGTGTGTGTGTGTGTGTGTGTGTGTGTGTGTGTGTGTGTGTGTGTGTGTGTGTGTGTGATGCAGTCAGAGCATCTGGCTCCTCTCTGCTCCCCGACATTAGTGCAGACAAGAGAATCAGTGGACTATTGAATGCAATTACAGTGTGCGGGCCAGACAATAAAGATTGATAGTGCTTTCGCCTTTTATCACACACAAAACATACCAGGGGTTAAAGCCTGCAAGCCTTGAGCTGCCGGCATTCTAATAATGATTGAAAATATGCCACCAGAGTGAAGAGGAACGCTTGGGGAGAGAATACAGGAATGCATAAAACAAAAGTTTTTTTTTTTCTTTTACCTGGTTGGGTGGCGCTGAGTGTGGTGCTCTTTTTCGTGTATATTTATTTGTCAATGACCTTTTTTCCCACGATGAAGGTTGGAATTTGACGATACTTCGTTAAAAAAACGATAAAAAAGAACAACATAGGCACATAACATTTCAACTTAATTCCTATATATTTTCAATGACTCAGGAGGTGATAGAAAAAAAAGTGATGGCAGCTTGGAAGACAAAAAAAGTGCCTTTGTGGTTTTCTTTTTTGAAAGATAACAGGGGATGACATGTGGCAAATGATCTTGAGCCAGATTCAAACCCAGGTCCTCCGTATTGGAACCAAGCCCCTGGGGACATGGGACCCAACTCAACTGAGCTGAATGAGCTAGATTGATATATTCTTTAAAACAATATACAGTGTGTTCCGAATCAAACACCAGTGTGTTTTTTATTTTATTTATTTGAAATGTGGATTAAACTATCACTTTTCATACTCTGTAATACAAATTTGGACCTTGATGACCTCGTATTGTTCAATCACTCAGTAAGCTACTTTTTTTTTTTTAAAGTGTTGGTTAAAGGAGGGGTAGGTAAGTTTGAGAAACCAGCTCGAGATACACTTTTTGTTATACTCCATGGAATGCTCTTAACATCCCGATAGCAATGAATATCTTAAGTGCTTTGACAAAAAATCCATAAAAAGATTTAATCAGTGGAAGCCGTAGTACTGTAAAAAGCACGACCAATCATCTGAGCCGGCCTGGCTAAAATAACTGGATGGCCTACCTGCCTGTCAGCCTTCCATCTGTTCACAAACTTATCTCGTGCCCTCATTGGTCATGTGCGCGTTTGTGTGTGTTGGAGGGTGGGCTCTGTAAGGAAGTGGCAGATTTTTTCCGGTTGTGTATTTTCAAATTCTAGCGCACTCGAGCTGGTTTCTCCAAAATGACCTACCCCACCTTTAAGGTGACGCTTTTTACATTACATTACATGTCACTTTTTAGAAGCTTTTATCCAAAGAAACTTACATACTCAATACTGTGGACAATCCCCACAGGAGCAATTTGGGGTGAAGTGTCTTGCCCAGGGACACAACGACATGCTGACTGCAGTGGGTTTTGAACCTGTTCCGAACACCAACGCACAATTCACTGCGCCACACGCCTCCTTTATCTTGTAAAATGCAAAATAAGCATATTCCTGTATTATGGCAAATAACCTGGACAGCCATATAAATATCTTTATATTCTATGTTATCTCTTTGTTGCAAATGTCACTACTTTAACTTCCTTTGTTTGTTTTATTTGTTTTTATTGTATTTAATTCAAAATGGAACAACTGTCAGTAAACCATTTAGATAAAGTAGTTAAGTTAGAAAAAAAATGCTAACACTTGGTGGTGACTTAAACTAAAACTGCGTCTTAATTTTTTTTTTAATGTTTCAATCAACTTGCTTGCAAAAATAACAATGATGTATACTGCTGTTTTCTTTTTTTTTTAAATAAGTTAGCACTTGATTTAAATGTTCAGTTTTAGTTTACATTGGTTTTATTTGACTTAAATAGGGTTAAGGTCTCTTGACATACAATGGAAAGACTGTCTTTGCATATCGATACAAGCTGAGCCACATCTGTGTCCATCCAGAAAGTGTACCCACCCCTACTTCAATTGGTATTTATATATACTTTTTGAAAAATCTGAAACTGACATGTTTTCTGACATGCCTGAAAGTTTAAGCACCCTTGTATCCAAAAAAGCTGCTCATATGTACCAAAATAATTTCACAAACACACATCCGTTGATCTGTTTCATCACTGCCGCGCCATTTATCCTGACATATCAAAGCAGATTCCTGCTTGAATGTGCTTGGGAGTGAGGAGGACGCATTAAACAGTTGGTTGCCATTGACATACAATGCATCATGATGAAGGAATAATAGATAGACGGTGACCAAGGACAGATCTGAAAGAGGAACTGAGGAAACAAAGAGCAGGACAGAGGAGGAAGACGAAAATGACAGGAGGATAAAAAGGACAAAAGAGGATAAAACAGGATTTGTTTTGTAATATTTAAATGTACCAGCCACAAGAATAGCAGGAGATGAGTGACAGAGTGATTGTTCTATTATGTGGCTGACTGGCCACAGCCCTCTAACATATGAACGTGCATGTGTGTCGGCTTTCTTCAAGCGCTGCTGTTGATTATTTCTGTCTTATTAGTGACATTCTCCTTCAGTCACTCTTCTTCCTCTTTCTCTCTCTGCTTCAACAGAATAAATGCACTTTACCTTGGCACGCCACTGTTTGTCGTTCCTTCATTCAAAACCTGTTTTGTCATTCACAGAGAATGCAAATCGCACTTGATGCGCCTTGAAAGTGTCACTCTGACTGCTTTTCATTTTATTTGATTATTATTAATGTTGTCAACATCTTTGGTTCTGTCATTGGTATTGTGACATATTCTTGTTCTGACTTTCTGCTGATGTTCTTTTCCGTTTTCTGCACTTTATTAAAGTTCTACTATTGATTTGAAAGAAAATAGACACTTAACACAAATGCCTTCTAGCCTGCTCTCCTTAAAAGTTCCCATACAGAAAGATTGCATTGTCCATTATGTTTTAAAGGAAATGTATTCTGTCCTGGGATGTGCTTCTAGTCAAATGAGCTGTTCGAATGAAGTACTAGTTTTAACCCTAATCCGTCTGAGTGGGTAAACTCACCTAGGAGCAAACTAAAGGTCAACTTTCACTAATTTTAATTAACAACTGTTAACTCAATAATCTAATCCTACTTATTTTTTTCCAAGCCTTTCCGTTTCTGTTTTGTCTAATTTCCAACGCTAACCGCATGTTCAAAGCTGTGACTGTAATCTAGGAGAAGACACATTTCCATTTTAATTTCCCTTTACATTACATTACATTGCATTTAGCTGACGCTTTTATCCAAAGCGACTTACAATAAGTGCATTCGACCAAGAAGATACAAACTAGAAGAAAACAGAATCATATAAGTACATCAGGTTTCATAGAGCTAAAACATTTCAAGTGCTACTAAACTAGCTTTAGATAAGCCAGTCCTTTATTAGTATATAAGTTGTTTGTTAGTATGTAAGTGCTTAGTTAGTATATGAGTGCTTTTTATTTATTTATTTATTTATTATTATTTTTTTTTTTCATTTTATTGCTCGAAGTGGAGTTTTTAGTCTACACCGGAAGATGTGTACATTTTCTGCTGTCCTGATTACAATGGGGAGCTCATTCCACCATTTTGGAGCCAGGATAGCAAACCAACGTGTTTTTGCTGATGGGAACTTGGGTCCCCCTCGCAGTGCGGGTGCAGCGAGCCGTTTGGCTGATGCAGAGCGAAGTGCACGCGCTGGGGTGTACGGTTTAACCATGGCCTGGATGTAGAAGGGCCAGATCCATTTACAGCATGGTACGCAAGTACCAGTGTCTTGAAGTGGATTCTAGCAGTTACTGGAAGCGGCGTGGTGTGGGAACATTTAGGAAGGTTGACGAGCTGGACATTGCGAATGCAGTTAAGATTCACTGAGCCACTGCATATGCAAAACATATAATTATTTTAGTTTATACAGTTAAAGATCCTATTGTGTGTCTTCTTTGATAATGATAACTCTGAACTGATGTCTTACGCTGCATGTTTATTGTAAGGCTTCACCAAGGAAACAGAAGAGGAACAATACAAGCCAATACAAGTATATAGTCACCTTGTACGCCACCATCTGTTCTGCCAAACTCTTCTCAGGTCTACATATTAACAAACCAGATCTGATGGTAAGTCCACTCAAATCATCCTGAGACATCCTGATATACAACAGCCCATGACCTGACCTGATTAGACTGAATGATGTTCAGTCCTAATATTAGGAAGACCTAGCCAAATGTAGGCCCTGGGTCAAGTCTCAGTTATTAAGAACTGAGTGGTCCCTTGAAGACCACTGACTTTCTGTTCTTGTTCCTCTTGTTTACTTGCTTTGTAACATCAATCATTTTGTATTTCTGATCTTAACACATTTAAAGGTGTAGCATTTCATTGTATAAAGACTATTATGACAGAATGGTACTTCTTGAAGAAAGCTTATCCAAAGTATGAGGCCTTTGTCCTTGCTGACCCATGATAGAAGGTTGATTCATGTGATGGCCATTGCCTAACTTCTATCTTAGACTTCTGGGATGCTATTACTTACGTATCTATTTTCCCATTTGTAACTGTTCTCCCAAAAGGTTACACAGAACATTAGTGTCAAATTTAGATCAACTGGTCTCTGTGCTTTCTGGGGAATAAAAGCGCCGCTCCAGAGTGTCTGGTTTGGCTTTACCTTTGGTTTCAACAAACAATACCTCACACCACATTATGCTCACACATTCACATCTGCATTACTGCTGTTATTGACACAAATAGTTATTATCGGCGACCTAGGAACTAGGTCATGACAGGCCAGGACCTAGCCTAATTTAAGTCCTATCGGTCAAGTGTCAGTTACTAAGAACCGAGTGTTCCCCTGAAGACCTCTGTATATACTGACTTTCAGAATCTGAATTTCTTTATATCTCCAGCAAAGGGGAAAAGTAAGTTGTTAGAGTAAAGCTAGAGACAAAAATAAATACAACAGTATTAGATAAAGGGCATGCACATAATATTTAAAATAAAAATGTAAAGTTATTCCAATTTAAAAAGTATTCCAGTTTACAAAGTACACTTTCAGGGAGAAATATTAGCAGCAGCAGTATTTATAAAATAAATTACGTGTAGAATGTAGTGTGGTCGATAACAGAGGTACAATTCTATATTACAGATTCTTGTCACAGTTTTAAAATTGTCAAACTAAGAAGGCAGCCAATGATAATACACATTTTAACTAGGAACTTCCATTATTGTTCCTCTGTATTCAATTGCTTGAGTCAAGTACTTTGTGTTTCTGATTGTAGAGGTTTGTATGAATCTTAAGGTACACATGTGGATCATTTTGTTGTTTATATTATTCTTAAAGACTGCTAATCCAAAGTATGAGTCCTTTGTCCTTGCTGACCGGTGATTAGATGTTAATCCGTAATCCAAGGATAATTTGTTTGTGTTTATCCGCAGCCGCAACCTCAACTCAAACAGGAAACTGATGCTTAATCTGTCCAACCAACACTGGGTACAGTGTCACCATCGAGTCACCAGTGTCACAATCGAGCGGGGAGCGTGTGTTTACCCCGTTTCTCTGGTGTATTTGCATATGAAACAGTGTCCTCAGATCATTCTCCAGGAAATATTAGCAGATTAGAGGCGGATAGGATTAATGTGTGGTGTTATATGGCATGTTCTGATACAGTGGAGACACACAGACACAGTGGAGTCTGCATGTGTTGATGTAAATCACCAGCGCAAACACACACACCGCGACCCCTGTCTCTCGTGTAGATACAGGAAGCGGTAGGACGAGGGTTCACAGATAACAGTCAAATCCAGCCACCTATTTAAAAGGTTGATATTTTAGTAGTAAACATGTAGGATTCCTTCATTATTTGACAACTCCACTCGCTGCCTAGTTGGAAGCTTTCCGTTAAGATGCTTATCTGAAATGTCAAAAAGAATGATGCTGATAGCGGTCGGTATGAATAGGGCCTACGCCGTCGCTGATAAGGACACGTATGGACTCCAGAGCTTTCCTTGCCAACACTGGATTTCCTGCATCTAAAAAGGGCCTAATTCCACACTAATATGAATATGCCAACCCCCCTCCCACCTCCTGATGGAGAGAATTATGGTCCCCATGAACCGATTCTCCCTCTCCTTACCTCTGCCACGACAAAAATGCCACGGTAATGTCAGGGGAGATGTAACGATTTAGATTCTGCCGATTGTCCCGTGTCAGCTCACATCCGTCGGCCCGGACGAGTTGATTAGAGTTGGGACATCAAAAGAGGCTCAGGGTGGAGATAAGAAGGAGGGGGAGGCAGTGGGGCGGGGGTATATTAACGTATTTGCCGTCAGGATTCGAGGCACAGGAGGAGTTTCAGCCAAAGTTCTGCCTGTCTCACCTTCTGCTATCTTGAAAGAGTTGGCAGTGACTCTGGCTTTTTTGCATAAGAGCCAAGATAATCCGAGCCTGTTTGGATCAATTAATGGAAGAGATAGGGAGTACAGTAAAGTGACGAGAGCTTGCAAAGGTCAGCTGTGTGCATTCGAGTGTGGTACTTATATATTAAAAAAATCCTTGCAAGAATGGAAATATGAGTAAAATGTGATTTGCTTGTACAGGTGACACACTTTGGGTCAGCAATTGGGCTTATCCAGAATACATGATGACGATGGCGCTCTTTAACAAAATAATTGCCATAATCTGATTAGGCATCTGGATTTTAATTAAAATAATAGAGGAAAAAGATACATTATTTTTTAAATTAAAGCAGATGCTTGCTAAAGGTCATAAATAACTCACCCCTGGCATGTCATCCATCCTGTAGTTGAGCTGTTATGCTGAAGTGCATAATATTAATGAGTAATTCATATGTCAACTGACTGGAATTTCCAACCATTTGGATGTAACCAAAAAGGACTAGCATTGGACGTTTTTTTAATGGGGTGTCATTGGGCACGATACCAAAACCAAGACTGCTGTTGTAGGTATTTTTATCGGAAGGGAAGTGTGTAGTTGCTTTGGATAAAAGCGTCAATGAAATGACATGTAAAGTACATTTCTGATACGAGGCTGGCTCTGAACCTTCCTTATTTTAGTGCAACAGACAGCATTGTGTCAAATAACGATGCCTGAAAAACTCACCAAATGCATCATAGAGACTGAAGTAGTTGTGGAGAAGTGTTGATCAGAGGAGAGTATGTGGTACAAGTGCTGCTTTCCAGTAGAGCTGCCATAGTAAACAATCACTTTGCTTCACTTTGTGTTGAATGATCTAAGTACAACAGTAGTAGCAACTTGTTAGAGTATGCATTAATGGTTGAGAGTTTTAACAATGAGGTGTCTACTCAGCTCACTATAATTCATCCTTTTTTTGTGCAAATTTCACAAAAACGAATTGCAGCCATACTGTGTTTTTGTTTCTAAGCACTATTTCAGGCTGGGGTTTGAGATAATATAGTGGTGCAGTGATAACATATTTTCATATTCTGTTTTAGCATTGTAAGGGCTCCCTCTAATTGCGGAAAACAAGCTCTGCTGCAAACACCTACTTATGATTGTTCAGAAGTCATGTGACCGTAGTCTTGTTTGTTTATAGCCTGTTAGAGAAGGCTATAAACAAACAACATCACATGACTTCAGAGGCCTGTACTAGGAAGCCGGATTTTCGCTTAGCGAGGTAACTTCAGGGTAAACTCTGGGTTTCCGGTCCTACGGCGCTGGTTCACTTCTTACCGGGCTAGATCTCCATGGTAACTTATGCTGAACGGCAAACCTGCTCCAGAGCAGGTTTGGTTCCAGGATAAGCACCGCCTGCTGACCAATCAGAGCTCGGTGTGCGGAGTTTAAAGCTATCAAGTCATATTACATCAAGTCATATTACAGGATAAAGGAAATACAGTTTAAACTGCAGTTGCAGGAAAGACGGCCGGCAAAAATCAACTGACTGTGCAAACGTGAAAATGAATAGAACATCACCTCCCATCTTCAGAGCAATCTGACTATTATAACATTAGCGTTAAGAAAGCTTACTTAAATATCTGCCAAAACATAAGTAACCGGATCAGAGTAACATTAAGTACAGTCCGCGGCACTGTGAGTGCAGACGTCGATGTGTCCCATTATCATTCATATCACATCATATCACATCATAATGTATCATATATTTCCTTATCTGAGTCAGCATCTTGAGCCGTATCTGGCCGTGCAACACTCAGTGTCACATACTGTATGCAGAAGTACTCGTGTCTTAGACGGGGCAGTGATATCATAAACCTGTTAATGTACGCATTCAAACACTTTTTATTTCAGCTGTATTCACCTTGCACGTGCAGCTATGTGGCTTTGATCCTGGATAAAGTGTTTAAGTCATGGATGTTTAAAGTTTAACTTTTTGGTCTAATATTATAGATTTGACTTTTACATTCAGAAAGTATGACGCTGCGCTGTCAGTACTCTTACCCATGTTTGTAATTGGTCAAATGTTGCTAACCCCGCCCCTTTCATGTGAACGCGGACTCAGCCGGACAGAGAAACCCTGGCTTGAGTTACCGAGTTGATAACCAGCGTCGTAGGACCGCTTAGCGAGATCGCGTTTGTTTTGGATTAGTTAAGCCAGATAACTCAAACATACCCAGTATGTTGAACTGGATTCGTAGTACAGGCCTCTGATCACCACTGCTAAGCTAAATGCGAACTTGCGTTTGGATGTTGACACTTGTTAACAACTGCTGTTCTTATGACATAAAGTATTTTACATTTATGAGTGGTGTATTTATTGACGTTTTTTCTTCATAGAACAAAAAGTGAAAATCTCTTCAACTTTCAATTTGGGGCATCTAACCAAAACCACGTTAAAAAAACTGTGGTCTAACCGAAGAGGGAACCAAATGTGGTAAATTATACAAAGAATTCGGAAGAAACAATTGTCTAAAAATGCCAAGTTTCAGGAATAAAGACGTGTACATTTGGATTCATATGCCGTTAGCCCCACTGTAGTTCTGTGCATGTATGTGTGGCTCTTCTCTTCAGCATCTGCCCTTTACCAATTCCCATTCCCTCCTCACCCTCAGTATCTCAATTTAACACCGCAGCCCTTAGAGGTCAAAAAGACACCCTGGCGCCAGCTGTCCATCCTAAAGAGGATAGGGGTGGTGTGTGTGTGTGTGGAGGTCATTAATTATACATAGGCCCTATTTTGCATAACTCCCCTCCAATGCCCCCTTCACACCACTGTCAGGCTTTAGCAGGTTCAGAAGTGAGGGCTGCATCCGCTTCATGATAACATCTCCAATAACAATTAAGGTGGAAACATGTAATTTGCTAAGGAGGAAAAAAAAACTGTCAATAGGCTCTGGTGCCTTTGCATACTAAACACGGAGGCATGAGCAGCTGAGGACTTTAGGACTTTGATAAATGTCTTTTTACCCCCCAGTGATGACACACAACTGCGTAACGATTAAAGTCACATGGGAAGCTCTTTTAATATGGCTCAATATTGATCACAAATTCAGTTCATTGCTTAAATATGTAAACAGTCGAGGGCTTAAAGTCATGTCTTGCACATAATAGGCATTTACATTAAAGTTCATGACTTAGGCAGCACCAGACTAGCTGTATTTGTTCATAATGCAGTCCCATAACTCTATGAGGTTATGAAAAAACTACAGCTTTTAACAGTTTTACTATTGACAGAACTGGAAACCTTGAATACCACCTGGTCTTGTACATGCGAGTTCATAGAGCAAGTGCACCATCAAATTCCTCAATTAAAAAAACTCAAATAAAGGTGATTGACCCGTTTTGAATGCAGGTATAGGGTCCCTATAAATGGAACCAGTAAGTCTAAATGAAAGAATAAATTATCGTGTCTCCTTCTTTACCCCTTGAAGAAAAGCTGAGACTGTACATTTCCACCACCTGCATCTATAGAAGTTTCATCTTCCCACAACTGGGAAAACACCCTGATCCTTTTAAGCATGTATCGAGACTGACCTCATCCTTTCATCAAAAGTGATAAAAGCTTCGCCTTTACTTCTGATGCCACCTTCCCCCCTAGCTTCCCACCTACCTACCTCGAGTCACTCCGACTGCTACATCTGAATCAAGAATGCAAATGGGGCTGGAGCCTCACAAAGCCTGGGGTGACCTATATTACGGCTAATGATGGGCCACGGTTTCGGAAGAAGAGCTGGAATGAAAGAGAATTTGAATGAAGCTGACCCACATACAAAGGCACGACCAGTCGGAGAAACATGTTCCTTTCCCACTAAGTAGGCCACAATGGGCTTCAGGATTATGCTCAAGTTCCCCTTTTCTCCTGATGGATGGAAATGGGAAAAGTGATGGGGAGCCCCTGGCAGCGAGAGTCATTCCCTACACACAGCTAACAGGTTGTGGTAAGGTGGGAGTCTCAGCTTGTTAAATGGGACTCAGTTATATCTCAGCACTAAACATGGTACTGAGAAAACATAGAAGCTCATAATGCTGGGTTTATGCAGAACCCAGTATTCCATTAACAGCAAGATTAGAGCATAAACACAATACAGATATTCTCTTGGAACTCCATCAAACAAAAAAGACCATTTCTGAAGTGATTTCCAATAAACCCGTATTCAACTTTGTAGAGTGATTAAATAGGAAAATCCAATCTTGAAGAAATAGTTCAATTACTTTTATTTCAAGAGAGAGATGAGAAGATCAATATCAATCTCATGTTCGTGCAACTGGGGCTCGGTTAGCGTAGCTTAGCTTAGTGTAGTGAATGTAGGAAGGAACAGCTAGCTCTAATGTTTTCGAAGAGAGACAATGTATATGATGAACACGACTCAACATGTTCTACCTCATGATTAAACATAATAGTAAATACGACACTGAGATACAGGGTTGCTTTTATAGAGAGGGTACACACAGTTCAGTTCCAATGTCAATGATGGTTATATTTGTATGACTTTAAACATATTCACAGTAAGGTATTTAGCTAGTGAAACATTTTGAAAGAGTCAGCTCTATTTACATTTTAGTACATTTTCTACATTTTCTGCCTTCCACTTTAAGTACACTCTAAAAACAAATGCCTTGGCTCAACAAAGAAAATCAACGCAACAGTTTGCATCGATGTTTATTGAGTTATGACAACTTCTAATGAAATTGTCTTAAAGCAACACAGTTATTTGAGTTAGGGGAGAAGGCTTTTCCTCTACAATCAGAGGAGTTTTTAATTACCACTTACTTAATAATTGGTAGCATAAACATAAGCTTTGAAGTTGATTACTCAAAAGATTAAGTTGTTCCGATTAGTTTTACTACATGATTTAAAAGGAATTTTAAGTTGTATGTACTTAATTACCCTCATTCGGGATACAAGTTTTTAAGTTGATTACTCCAAAAATTAAGTTGATCCAACTTCTTTTACCGTATGATTTAAGAGGAATTTCAAGTTGTATGTACTTAATTACCATCATTGTGAACACACGTTTTTAAGTTGACAACCATTTATAAATTAAGTTGCTCCAAATACATTGTAATCAATAGTTTTTTTTCTTAGCTTTTTCATGTTTTTGCCTTTAAAGAAAGAAATGAATTGATTCCACAACAAAAATATTAGGCAATTCACTTTTTATTTTGAACTGCAGTTGTTTATTTCAACACATGATGTTTCAATCAGGAGAGAATTCTATTTTGTTTGAACATTTATTGACACATGCCATATGATAAGGTGCATGAACACCTAGAAATCATAGCTGACTGCAGGAGAGAGGAGAACCTATTTTATAGTTTGGCTGCAGCTCGTTGATTGGCTGCTGGAGAATGAGGTGAAATGTAATAGGTTAAAGAGAACGCCTGTGATGAGCTGATTATAAGCAGCTGCGGAGTGAATGTATATACACCCAGTCTTCCTG